GTGAGGGGTTGGGAGTTGTTGGCCGCTTTCTGGGCTGCTTGGCGGGGTTGGGAGCCCGGGCTACTCCCCCCGGGCTGGCACAGGGGTTCGGGCCATGAGGGGTTTCGGGTGGTGGGTTTTGGGGGGTCCCTGCATTCCCGGGAAGCTGGGGAGCATCCTGGAAACAGCCCTGCCAGGTGCCATCCCTGCAGGCCCTTTGTGCTCCCCTGACTTCTGCCCTGGGTTCGCTGCTCTGGCTTTCACGGGGCCTTCGTATGCGAGCCCTGTTGTGCCCTGCCTGCCAGGTGGCGGCCTGAGCCTCAGGTTGTTGCTTGGAAAAGGCTTCTCCGAGCTGCTAGCAGTTTATCCCCGTGAATTCTAGCTCTAAACAAAAGGTGGAAGGAGCGCATGGCCACTATTAACCTTTGATCTCCAAATAAAACCTGCTTATATTGCAGCTCTCCCAGGTGCAAAGCTTATCCAGGTACACCTGAAGACTAGTTCAAACCCACTTCCTAGCAGTGCATACTCAAGTTGCACGCTCCCAGCCTAAACAGCTGTCCCAACCAAAGCTGTCTAGTCACTAACCTGCAAAGCTTTTTCAAGCATCTTTTCAGGAACAAATGCTGAAGGAAATCCATTACAATTTACTTTTTGGTTTTCTGTCAAGAGAAATGCAAACTTACAGAAGTTACTGAAATGGTTTTGGAGAGTTGCACTTGGCTGTTCTGGCAGACTGTTAAAAGTGAAATTGCTTTCCTAAAGTGGTAAAGAATATTGCCATTTAGAAGGGACCTTGCAATTGGAAGTGTTTTGGCAGGGTAGGAGTTTGTGCTCTTTGCCTTATGGCATTGTGCCATTGCTGGCTACCAATCAGACTCTCTGTCTCCATCCTGTCATTGAGACAGACCCCAGGAACCTTAGATAATGCAGTATTCGTTGACATAGTTGAGCAAGTGCCTCTTCCCAGCACTCCCTGAATGGAGGTAGACTTACCATTAATAAGACCCTTGGCTGACATTAGCTGTCTGTGACTATTCCCCTTGCTCCTCTCCCCGTGTACCACCCCCTTCCCTGGAGTTCAATCAAGTCAGTTTGTTCCTTAGAATTCATATTTGCAGTGGAAGTATGTGAGTTTGTGGGGTTCCATTCAAGGTGGGTGTAGTTTCACCAACATTATGACTTGTGTAGAACCACGCACCTGAAGTCCATGGGCAAGCATTGCACTAGTGGCACTGACTGACCTTGGGTGTCTTGGGTAGCAGCAGGGAAACAGCCTGACTTGACTTGTTTCTTGAACTTCTAGGGCTGTGGTCTGGTTGGTGGGCACTCCTCCAGATGGCGATGGACCATGCCAGAGCGGTGATTTCTACCTTGGTAAGACAGTCTCCCTGTGTCATTTGGCTCTTGGTGGGCTGTTGGTGCTGCAGCATAAAGGTTCAACAACGTCCACGTCTGTATTGGGGAACCTGAGAAACCCAAGGCAGTGTTAGGTGCTCTGGTGTGGGCTGTGAGCCAAGTGTCACTGCAGCTAGCTGGCCTTGATAAGAACGTTGCTTAAGAGGCTTGGTTCTGGTGGAGTTACAGTTAACTGCTACAGTGTCTTGGGTCTCTCAGGAAGCTGATAAGGAAGGGGGTTGAGTCTTGAACAACGTTACAGGAGGAGGTACTGCTGAGGAAGCTGATTAAATGCCTATCAGGACAATCAACATGTGTTCTATTATGTTACTTTTTGGGTGGGAATTCAACCACAAGTCCAGCCTTTGAATGTGACCTGTCCTTTGAAAGAAATCTGCAGGAGGAGGTAGCTCTCAGCCAAGCCTGTCGGACCAAGAGAGCTTGGACTGTGAAATGACCCCAGGGTAGGACTGTAAATGTGATGGTTTGGTTGTTGAACAAGCATGGAGGATTTATGGGGTGGAGGTGTGTCCTCTACAAGGAATGAGGGAAGCCAAGCTATCAAGCAGCTGAGCAGGGAGACTGCTAGGATAGGCTGTGGGGTTGCACGTTTTGAAATGAAAGCAGCCAGCCACTTTCATTTGAGGGTGCCGTGGACCAGAATGGAACTGCAGGTCTGAAATTATGTCAGTTTAGTTTTGACTAAGCAAGGTGATATCTGGCCTCTTCATCTCCTGCCACTGACATGTAGTTTGAGAATAAGCCAAGAATTTTGGATGAGCTCCTGAGATTGTCACAGGGCTTGAGCTCTTTCCACCAGCCTCTTCTTCAGTACAGTGGAGACTGACTGCAGCACTGTCTCTTCCTCTGGCCTTTTAGTCAGTCTCCTTCCTGCCTGTCCCCAGGACAACTGTGGCTGCAGGCAAGTTCAGCTGCTCTAATGGAAGCTGAGTGGTTCTGCTCAGTGCCTGGCTATGCCTGGAATTGAGTTTAACTGGCTGTCAGTGAGCACTGCCTTGCACGCAGGCTGTTGTTCTGCAGGTGACTGGATTGTGCACTGTCTGCTGCTTAGAAGAGTGAGCTCCAGGCTGGAAGCTGCTGTGGTTGGGAACTGATAAACACCTGTCAAATGATTCCATTTGCTGGTGGATGTAGGAGGTGTGTCCTCAGCTTTTATGTTAGCTGAGGTAGCGGGATTCCCATGGGTCATCTCCCTTCAGCCTCCCTGCTTTATAATACTTATCAACAGTGTAACGTAGGAGTAGCCTGGGGCAGTTAAAGACAAGATTATGCAGATACTGGCTGAGAGTATCAAAGTCGATGTGTGGCTCAAAGGTACAACTGTGGAGGAGTTGCCTTCCCTTTCCTCTGCCCTGATCAAAGCTCCCTTCTGTGGGAATTGCACATATTCAGGTCAGATCAGTGTGCTCCTGATTTAAGGCTGAGAGTTTCTGCTTCTATCAGCCTTTGCTGTGGGGTCACTTGGGAAATGCAGCTGTCATTGGCTGTGTCATATCTGTAACAGACTCCAAGCTAGACTCTGACCGGTGTGGCTCTGAACTTGTGCAGGGCAAACAGATGTTAAATAGACCCTGGAGATCCTGAGTGGGTCCAAGTCTGTTCAAAGCAGCCAGCCTGACTCATTGACAGTCAAAGACTCAGGCTGCGCTGGAGTGATTTCAGCTGAAAAAGCTGTGTTAGGTTTGGAAGATAGGTTCAAGCAAGGACTGCAGGCTGGTGTATCAAACTCTTCCATCACATGACTGTCTTTCATCACAGTGTGGTGGTGAACCCTCGTCATACACACGCTTCAGTGTTGCCCGGCAAACAGATGGAGACAACAGCCACCTGGAGATGAAGCTGTCTGCTGATGATGAGGAAGGAGGGGAAACTGGGAGGCCAGACCACCTGCATGCCAGAATTCCTCCTTCACGGAGGAGTGGCAGGAACATCTGCTTCCCAATCATCGCAGCTGTCCTCCTCCTTTTGATTGGTAAGGAAGAGTGGGAGGAAACTGCATGACTGGTATTGAGCATATCTGAGGCTGTTAACATTTTAATCTCTATTGTTTCAGGAGATAATTAAAGATCCTGAATCCAGGCTGCAGTGTCTTGCTGACTTGTCTAGTTCAGACTTATGGTGCAGAATTGGCACAAAGAAGTGTGAAATTTGACAGCAGAATTGTAACTTGGCTAAAGGGAAAACTGGTCTTTGTGGCAAGTGTACTGCTTTTCCCGTTATTAACTCTTAACACTTCTCTAGAGATGTGGGTCAACATATCAGTAAAGCGTCTGGTGCTTGTCTCTCAAGGATTTTGACATTGCCACTGACATAAAACAAACATTCTGTTTCCAAAATGGCACTGGAGGGACGTTGCCAAGCACAAGATCAAATTTACAGTCCTGTGCCTTAAAACATGCCAGCTCAGGCAAAATGTCAGGCTGCGTATTCCTCCCTGTCCTTAGGTATGCCAGCTTGTCAAAAATGGTGTGAGAGCAGAGAGGCATCTTAACCTTGAAGCTGCTTTGAATGCACTTGCATGGTGTGGAGGCTGGTTTAGTCATCTTTCTGCAGCCCATAGAAATACCTGTTCTATTTGTAGGGTTTTTGATCGGCTACTTGAGTTATCGTGGACGAATGCAGAAGGCTGGCAGGTGTATGGATGGAAGTGGCAAGTGTGAGATGACCCCTACTAAATCTTACTTAGCGGATGATGATGAAGCTGAGGCAGAAGTGATTCCTGGACCACCTGTCCTCTACTGGCCTGAACTCAGAAACCTGCTGTCAAAAAAGCTGTCAGCTACACGTCTTGAGGACAGCTTAAGGTAACAATTGCAGAAAGCCTAGCTACAGCTATGAGAGAAGCACAGCCTGTGAGCAGAACTCAAACTCCTTTGGACAACAAGGGCCTTAAAGATGTCTTGGGGCGGCACGTGATTAAACTTGGGCTTAAACAGCCCATCCAGCTTGGGTTTGCAGGCTGGAGCACTGCAGTGCAACCTGGTTCTGTAGCCTAAGCTATACATCTATTACTTACAGGCGAAGGGCAAATAAGGACTCCTTTGAAGCTGGCCTGAGTGAAGATGAGAACGTTGCCAGCTACATTCATGACCAGTTTACCAGCTTCCTCTTGGATGAAGTGTGGAACGATGAGCACTACATTAAGCTGCAGGTCAAAGGCAGGTATGTTAATGAAGAGATGCAAATCTCTTTCCTTACAGCGTGGTTACCTGTGATCTTGAGCAAACACATGGCTTCTGTTGAAAGCAGTGCTAAAATTGTGAGCCAGATACCCCTCTCCAAGAAGTAGAGAGAAAACAAACCTGGCTAAAAACTCAACTGAGGGGCAGATTCCCTGTGTCTAAAACTGCTAGCATGGGTGACTCTGTCTTGTCACCCAGACAGTTGTTGCAGACCTGGCAGTGGCTCCTGTAGTAGCTCCAGGAGGGTATCAACAAGCATTGTGTTGGCTGACAGCTTGTACCATCGTGTCTTACTTGCCCCTTCGTGTTGGGGGGGAAATTAATTTGCTTAGCTCCTCTTAGGAGGGGATTAAGAGTCTTGAAAGCATAGATTATTTCTGCTGCTTGCCTTAGAAATTAACCTTTGTTAATGTCTGTGAACAACCCCTGAGTTCTTGCACAGTAGTACTGGGATGAATCTGCCTATTTCAGGCTCTGCATTGGTGTGATCAGAATTGCCAGCATGAAGACTGAAATATGAGAGCCAATTCAATGTGGAGTTTATGTATGAAAGAACATAACACTCTCTTTGCATTTAACAGTAGCAACAATGAGGTGTCTATTCTGGGAGTTGATGAAGAAGAGGAGATTCTGGAGCGTCCCAGTGCATATGTAGCATACAGCAAGACTGACTCAGTTGCTGTAAGTGACTCCATGAAGATTCTGGAAATGTGCAGTGCCCAAAATGTGCCCCTTCAAGATGAGCAGTGTATAAAGTCCTCCCTGGCTAGAGAGCTGGGGAGGTGGTGGGGAGAGGATTAGGCCCACATAGTGTTACTACTGCAACAATATGCAGAAGTAACTGTTTATAAACTTCTCTGCTGGGATCCTGACAGGAACCTTGACAGAAGTGCTGCTCCAGAAGGCATGTTGCATGTGATCAGAGTTGATACTGCTGAGCTTGAAGGGAGTCACCATTACTGTGACTCCATAGGCTGTTCGAGGTATCCTACTGATGTGGGACTGCTGCATGTATAACCAGTGTTTCTGTTCCAGGGCAAACCAGTCTATGTGAACTACGGAGAGAAAGCTGATTTTCAGAAGCTGCAGATGCAGGGTATTTCACTGAATGGTACTATAACCATCTTCAGAGCTGGAAAAATAACCCTTGCTGAGAAGGTAAGCAGCCTGTACCCAAAGCTGGGCCAAACTTGGCAGCTGGAAGCTATGCTTTCTCCTCCCCAAGACACACCTCTGGGCATCAGTTCAAGTCTTTAGAATTAATGTCTTGTCCCTGCATGTCTGGTCTTGCTTGTTTGCACTAAAGCTCCATATACAAGTCTGGACACCAAGACAGAGCAGAGCGGGTAACCATTCACAGTGGCACTCTTCTTGGCCTCTGGCAGTCTTGCTGGGACAGCCAAGCCTCTGGAGTGATGGAGTTGGGAAGCAGAGGGAGGGAGCCTGGGGACCCCAGGGAGCAGAGTTGTCTGGTATTGCTAGATGCAGCAATAGGGCTGCTAGAAACACAACAGCTTTGCCTCCAGAGCACCTCGTGCTGCAGCAGCAGGTGCTGACACTGCATGCCCAGGCAGCTGCTGTGCATGTTGCTGCAGTGTTCCCTCCCTTCCCTGTAGCAAGTCAAACCAAATAGCCAAGCAGCCCAAAGGACCCAGGTCCTGTACACAAGCCTGTATTAGGGCTGACCCAGAGCTGCCCCTCAGGTGCCTGCTCCTGGGCAGCCTGGGGCATAAGACTCTACCTGTCTGTTTGCACCATAAACAAGAAAGTGCTTCCACAAGGGGTGCTCACTGGTTTTCCAGTTCTCTTGCCATGTAGCAAACTGGTGTCTAGCCTTGCAAGTGTTTGTACCAGTGGCACATCAGAGGCAACTGGGCTGTAGGTAGGTTAAACAGGTGCCTGAGTAGGCCAGTCTGCTTCTATTTTGCATGTGAAGGTGAGCCTCCAGTGGCTGCTTGTCTTGTCTTGAGAATAACCTAAGCTTGGGAAAACAGATGGAGCATAAACAAAATTAAATAACATCTTTCTTGAAAGCCTCTCTGAGGAGCAAGCCTGAACTGAAAGAATTGCAGTGTGAGACACTTAACTGTGAAGTGTCCTAACTGTTTAAAAGGGTGTCAGACACACTCAGCCTGGAGTAGGACAGAGCTGCTAGTATTCAGCTTCCTTGTGTATCTGTTGCTGTCAGGTAGCTGTTAAAATCTGTTGTGGGGCTGGGCACTGAGGAGCACAGCCCTTTACAGTACTACTACATGTACTTGCCTTAACTCCCCTTGCAGTGCAGATGTTCAGTTAATGTTATTCTTTGCTTCAGGTTGCAAATGCCCAAGAGGCAGAAGCAGTTGGTGCCCTGATGTACCTGGATCCATACAAGGACACAGATACACTTGTCCCCTTTGGACATGTGAGTATATAAATGGCTCCCCTATTTGCTGCTCTGGTGAACCCTTCTCTCTGTGGACTGCAGCAGTCCTGCAGGCCTCTGTCTCTGCTGTGCTTCATGCCTTTGTGTAGATGGAAACTGTTGGGCTCCTCTGAGACTTGAGGACTCTTGCTTTTCACAGGCCCACCTTGGAACTGGAGATCCTTACACCCCAGGCTTCCCTTCTTTCAACCACACCCAGTTCCCACCGGTGGAATCTTCTGGACTACCTCGCATTGTTGTTCAGACCATCTCTGGGGCAGCAGTGGGCAGGCTGTTCAGGTAACTTTCTCCTGCCTTGCAGGCTAGGCTGCAGTGGCCCTCCTGCAGTGCCCTCCTGCAGGGCTGAAGATGGAGTTGAGGTGCTGTGAGCCCAGGGAGCTCTCTGCTGGTCTCTGCTGTGCATCGCAGGGAGCACTTCCTGCAACTGGCTGGAGAAATGTTGCTTGTGTCCATGCATTGTGTCTTAAAGACTAATCTAGCCTCTTGGCCTCTGCATCCTACCTCTTCCTGCCTAATTTGTGGGACAGGACTGCAAGCTATTTTCCTGAGCAGGCTCTAAACAAGGCTGCACCTGCAGTTGCAAGCTTGTTGGTTTTGGCTGTTTGTTTTTTTTTTTCACAGCATACCTAAATGAGGTCAGAACTAGACAGTGAGTTCAAAGGATCTCTCTTTTTCCCTCAGCAAAATGGGTGATGGAGAGCCCTGCATTTCAGAGTGGAGAGGAGGGGTCATGGCATGTAAGGTGATGCCAAGCAGCACAAGCAAGATGACTGTGAAACTGAATGTGAGCAATGTTATGGTGGACAGGAAGATTCTGAACATCTTTGGTGCTATCAAGGGATTTGAAGAACCAGGTAAATAGCAGCTGCCTTGTGGTTCAGTCTTGAGAGAAACCCTTCCCCTTCTGTGATCACCAAAACATGACAGCTACTTCCAGACAGACAGACACTTCCTCAGCAGAACCAAGACCCTTCCCTAAGGGTCAAGGAAGAAGCTGAACTGAGCTTCCAGAGCAAAACTAAATGAAAGCAGTGTGCCAGATTCAGGGGTCAGACTGCATACCCTGTTCCTAGTACAGAAGCTCAAAACTGCTTTTCTGATAAATGACGTTTGCAACCTGAATCTTGCAGCTCAGGTCTTGGTGTCTCCTTTATAGATCGGTATGTGGTGATCGGAGCCCAGAGAGACTCCTGGGGCCCAGGAGCAGCCAAGGCTGGTGTTGGAACTGCCATATTGTTGGAACTTGCCCGTGTGATCTCAGACATGGTGAAAAATGGTAAATATTTGTGTACAAAAGCATGGGCTTTTCACTGAAGGTGGAAAATGCTGACCTAGCTGGACAGGTGGTGTGGTTAGGGCTGCATGGTGGCACTTAGTGTGAGTGCTTTTGTCTCCAGGGTTAATTTTTTGGGCTCAGGCAGTTAAACCCAAAAGGTGGGGAATACAGGCAGCATAGTTTCCTACACAGCTCTGCTGTGTGGCAGGGCAGGGTGCAGTGTCCATGTAGCCACTAGTCTTGTGCACGTTTGTCTGCAGAATGCTTCAACTCTGTCTGAGTGCAGGCAATTAATCAACCCAGGCGCTGAGTGCTGATCTGCATTTCCATGGGGGAAGGGCAGACACCTCAGGCTCTCTCTTTGCAGATGGCTTCAAACCGAGGCGCAGCATCATCTTTGCAAGCTGGAGTGCGGGAGAGTACGGAGCTGTGGGTGCTACAGAGTGGCTGGAGGTACTGTTGGTTTCTTGGTTTGTTGGACTTCTGCGTGATGGCTGCGTAATTGTGACTTCCTGTTCCTATGGATTAACCATCCTGGGGCTGTACTGCTACTGCTTATCTTAAAATACTTGTTTTGTTCCAGGGGTACTCTGCCACGCTGCATTCCAAAGCCTTCACTTACATTAACTTGGATGCTGCAGTCCTAGGTAAGCTGCTACTCTTACATTTCTTGAAACTGAGTGGGACCAGAATAGCTTGAGAGACTTCCTTTAGCCTGCAGCAACAGGCTCTGTGCCTGAGGTTGCTGCTCGGCGTTTGGCTGAAGACTGGCATGACTGCATTTATTCTCCTGTTGTCATTGGAGCTGGGAGATTGCTGCTGCCTGAGCCAGAAGGAGGCAGCTCTGCTAGGTCCCAGTAGACTGTCCTGTGTCTGTTGAAGAGCCTTTGGCAGCAAGCTGTAGATCAGTTGTTGCTCAGCCACAGGGCTGAGCAGCTGTAGCAGTAGTGGTTAATTGTGCCAGCATGTCAAACACCTTTTCTTTTCTGCAGGCTCCAGCCACGTGAAGATTTCTGCTAGCCCGTTGCTGTACACATTGCTGGAGAGAACTATGAAGGGGGTGAGTTGAAGAGTCTTGGGCTAATCAAGGTGACTGATTCTTAAGGAGGAACTGAAAGCAGTCAGAGCTTTGCTAGGTCACTTTCCCCAGCTGGCACCTTCTGAGGTATAAGCCCCATTTAGGAGAAAGGACTGAGATACTGTGGAGGGCCCTGTCTGAAGTCAGCTCGGCTCTGGGAATTGCAGTTCTTGTATGTAGAATATAAAATCAGCAAATGCCACAGTTAAATGGGAGGCAAATGCCTGTCCAGCATGAACTATGCCTGTGTGGATAAAGATCAGGGGAGTACACCTGACTCTGGCATTGCACAGGAATACAAGCTCCAGGACGGACCTGGAAGCCCAAGTAGAGGTTGGAACATGTGCATTGACTGTCATCTCTCTGCAGGTGAAAGACCCAACAAAGAATTCAGAAACTCTGTATGACAAAGCTGGCTCCGACTGGGTACAAAAAATGTAAGTCATGTAATTCTGGTGTTCAGGAAAGCAAATCTCCATAAAGGAACAAATTAAACAGCTTCTGCTCTCCATGCTGGAGTGGCATACTGCTGTCTGGGGTGGGCTGTACCTGCTGCCATGATGTTAGGCAAGTGTGAACAGTACAACTCTAGCTGTACCTTCTGCCACCCTGAGCTTTCCCCTTTCCTGTAGGCAACCCAGACATCATTTGTAGGGCAAGAACAGCCTTGGACAAAGACCAGTGGCCAGAAATGGATGAGCAGCCCTGGGCACTTTGCCAGAACTCCTAGGCAAAAGCCGGTCTTGTCTAGACAGGGTAGTCCAGTTGACTCAGGGCTTGAAGCTTTACTCCTGGGATGTCCAAACCAGCTGGTAACTACTTGTCTTTTGCAGTGTTCCCCTTGGTCTGGATAATGCTGCCTTCCCTTTCCTGGCGTACTCGGGAATCCCAGTGGTATCCTTTGGTTTCTACAATGTAAGTATTTTCTGCCTGTCAGGTGTACTCATTCCATGGAGAGTCTTGTAAGGATATCTGCTTTCCAGGTTGGCAGAGTGCAGGGTACTCTCCCAAGCTCATTGGCTATGCAGGGTCTCTCTGGGGGAGGAGCAAACAAGGCATCAGCCATTTTTTTATTATTATTTTTTTTAAGCCTATTCTGTTACTGCAGGCAGGCAGCTGGGAGCCTTTCTGATCACAGCTTCCTCTGCTAATGAATGCTTGGGTTTTCTTAGTATCAGGCTTGATCCACAAAAAACCTGGAGTTACCCTGCCAAGAAGGGTTGGAGTGTGCTGCCAGCACATACCAAACTGGGTGCTGGGGTTCGCCTGCCTGCACTTCTGTAGTGAACTTTTAAGGGGAAAAGGTCTGTATGTCTTCGGATCTAACAAATGAGCAGACTGTCCTTCTGATTGCTGGAAACGTGTGAGGGATGAGATGCAGGAGCTCCATTCCCTCCCCCTGTGCTTTGAAGTTTTGCCACTCAAGTCTCTCTACTTAGCAGGACAGGCAGATGGGATGTGGTGGAATTAGCAAGCAAATAGTAGCAGGAGTTGAAAAACCCTAGCTAGAGAAGCACTCCTGCCTAACTTCAGTGCCTTCTTTCTTGCAGAAAGATGAGGAATATCCCTTCTTGGGCACTACTCAGGACACTGTAGGCAACCTGAGGAGGATAAACAATTTGTATGATCTTATGCGTGCTGCTGCGGAAGTTGCTGGACAAATTGCTCTCAGACTGACCCATGATCATGAGCTCTACCTGGATTTTGAGAGATACAGTGAAGAATTGCTTGCGTTCCAGGATAAGTTTTTGCCCTACGATAAGGATGCAAAGGTAAGAAAAGCTCAGAGTGCACTGAATCCTTTCAGACTGTTACGGGGCCATGTGCTAATAAGGTTCTGCCACTTTGGATATAGCAGGGTGGATATCTTCCTCCTTTGGGTATGGGAGTATAGCAAGATGTGACCTGAATAGATGTTCCTTGCCTGCACTGCTCTGCAGAGTAGCAGTGGCAGACAGATTTAGCTTAATCCAGCTGTGGTGAGCTCTTGAGGAAGTGGATGTGGATGGTTTCTCATCTGGTTATCATGCACAGCACGGTGCAGTTTTGCATCTCATTTGCACCCCTGCAGAAAGGCTGTGGGTGGGAAGAGACGTCACCGAGCTCGGTGACCTCAGAAGAGCTTGCCAGGAACTTGCTCTGCTACTTGGTTAAACTGGCAAAAAAACCCCACCACAACCCAGTGCTTTCTCTTGGTAAGAGCAGCAAAAGAAGCAAATCAGGTTTGCTAACGGCTCCTCCCTCACAGGGGCTGGGGCTGACCTTGAACTGGCTGTTTTTTGCCCGTGGTGACTTCCAGCGAGCTACAGATGCGCTGAGAAACGACATCGCCAACAGTGACAGGGAGAACAGGATTGTCCGCAGGGCCCTGAATGACAGGATCATGAAGGTGGGTATCTGCAACTGGTTTTCCTTTCCTCACAAAGGAAGAGAGTGCTGGCTGGGATGGGCCTTTTCCTTAGGAGCCATAGGTGTTGTGCAGACTGGTGTCTCTTCTGCTTGCGTAGCGTCAGTGTGAGTGACTTCTGCACTTGCTGTCAGGAGAGGGTCTGGCTCTTGCAGAGTTGCTGCAGGAGAAAGGGCTGGGTGGGGATCAGAGGTTGGGAGCTTGTGATGGGGAGCAAAAGAAAAACTTGGGAGTTGAGAGCATAACCCTAGATTTTGCATCTCTACTCCAGGTGGAGTATGACTTCCTCTCCCCGTTCCTGTCACCAAAAGATGCTCCCTTTCGCCACATCTTCTTCGGCAAGGGCTCCCACACCCTGCAGAGTCTGCTGGAGAACCTGCAGCTGCTGAGAAACAACAAGGACAGTGTGGATGTGAAGATGCTGAAAGAGCAGCTGGCCCTGGTAACCTGGACCATTAAAGGGGCTGCCAATGCTTTAGTGGGTGACATTTGGGATACAGACAACGAATTCTAGACACAGCAAACATCTGGTTAAGGTACAGGTTTAGGGAATCCCACTGCCTAACATGGCTTTTTTTTTTTTTCCTGTAGATTTTCTGGCAACAAATCTTTTTTGACCAAAGTTGAACAAAAAGTTTAAATCTCACCTTGACAAATTCACAGGAGACTGTTTTAAAGCAGGTACTAAGATTACCGTGAAATCTCCTCTGACCAGGCTCCCATCTGACCACAGTCCAGGCCGGTCATGTACAGCTGCTTGTGGGCCTTGCTCTCCAGTGTACTTGAAAACTAACAGCTCAGGTGACTCCTGAACCGGTACCTTGAGTGGGGAGGTACTTCATCTATTTAGGGTTTTCATTGTTGGCCCCCTAAACCTAGTGACAAAATAGGGAATTGATTCCTCTTGATACCTGTAACGAGGATCCCTTCTCTGGCAGGGAGCTGCAGAGACCAACCTGTAGTTCAAAAGTAAAACAACCTCGTAATAGCCCACAAGTGCTGGATTATCAACAAGCTCTGAAGTGCCCGGCCTGCTTTTACTCAACAGCAGGGTCCCAGTGACATCTTGGAGGCTTGCTTCTGTCAAGACAAGTCTAAATACCCAGGGAAAATGACCCAAAGATTATCTAATGCCCCCTTGATATCCCTAACTGGCACTTCAGCAAGTCCTGCGGCATTGAGAAATGGCTCTAGACTGGTACTTCAGATCTTGCTGCTCTGGAGCCTTTTCTGAAATCAAGTCTCTTGCTGGCCAAACCCTGTTTGATGCCATTTTGCAGGACGGATCTTGTTTGGCACTGAGATATTTATTTGTTTATTTATTTATCAGTGACAGCGTTCACTATAAATGGTGTGTTTTTTTATAGAAGATAATTATCGGAAGCAGTGCCTTCCATAATTATGACAGTTATACTGTCGTTTTTGAATAAAGCAGCATCTGCTATTACAATCAAACATGATACTGGAACTTTGCATTTAAAATAATCTAAACAGGCCCCTCAAAAGTTTGTGAAAACTATCAATTAAGCTTTCTGTGGCAAAAACATCTCTCTGGAAGAAACTTCAAGGTTTAAACCTGCTAGCAAGTCTTCAGGTTGTGCTCCAAAGCAATCCTTGAAATGCTGAAAACCTGGGTGGAAACTCAAATACTAGAAATTTGGCTTCCCTCTGGTGTCCATGCCCCTCCGTGGGCCTCGGACTCCCTCTTTACCCCCCCTTTCTGGATGCTGTGTGCCAGCATGGGGAGCACAGCTTCCTTCCTGGCCCCGGTGGAGGGGCTTGTTGTGTAGCCCTGGCTCCACCCATGGCAATACACAAAAAACTTCTTGTACCTCAGATTAGGCATTGACCCAACTTTAAAATGGCAGCTTCCTGCAAACTTCCAGTACCTAATGTATCATGAAACCTAACTGACATTATCGGAGGCAGTGTCTTCCATAATGTGTAAAGAACAAGGTAGTTTTTGCCTACCACAGTGTTATATCGGAGGCAGTGACCTCCATATGTTGCACTATGGGTGTACGTAATTATCGGGGACAGTGTTTCCCATAATTGTTCTATGCTTATCCTGCAATGTCATCTGCAAAGCTTGATGGTTAGTATCTAACATGGATCAATTTCCTGCAGCCCTATTTTTTCACTCTCCTGTGGTGATGCAAATACAAACTTCGGTCTGTTATGTACTTCCCTAGACTCCTCTGTAGGCTGAATTGTTTCAAATAGCTGTTCTGTCTTGAAGTGGCTTCCTGCCTCCAGTCACGGAACTGGTGCTTGAATGTTTAGTGGAAACTAGGCTAGTTAAACTGTGTGCTCTGTGATTTAGTAAACTTCCTTCAAATCAGTTACAAAAACTTGGGAAATTAAAGTGGAATGTAAAGCTTGGGGCTGACTGCTGTCTGGAGGGCTCTGGTTGCTGCTCTAGAACCATGTGCATGCTAGTTGGGAGGCTGGGGTGCGTGCATGGAAAGCTTCTTGTTCCCCAGGTCTCACTGGAAACCCCAGTCTTGCCTCCTGGATTTTGGGGTAGGGGGTGGAAATCAGTGGCACCTCTCTCACAGTGCACCTCTGCTCCCTGACCTGGAGCTGAACACTGCTGCTGTGTGACACCTGCTAAGCTGTGCTGTCTCCAACCCTATGCTCTGCAAACAATGTCATCTGCTGTTTAAACCTAACCCCAAGTGAGTGACCTGAGCCCCAGCAGTAGTCCTTAAGGGACAGAGCATTGTTCTGCTGGAACAGAGACCTGGGCTTCCACAAGGAACAGGGAAGAATGAGCCCCAGCCTAGTTACGGAGCTCGGTGCTTACCAGCTTGGGGGTCTGGATTTCCTTCCTTCTCTCTCCTTGCCCTTCCCTAACTGCCCTGCTGTCTCTGAGGCATGTGTATGTTACTGTTTCCTGGTGACACTTCTCTGGATGGCATTTACGAGCTGCTGTCTGGGAGTCCTCACTGTAGTGTTTGCATGTGTCTTTATGTCAGGCTTAATCATGCGCTTTGCAGCCAGCAGAGAGAGACAAAGCCTGTCTCCTGGCTTGGCAGCACAGTCGTGACTACTGGGATGTTGGGATGCCTTCCTTGGTGCTGGCATCTGACTGCTGTGGGGTGCTGAACTTTGTTTCTGGATTATCTGCTGTCTGCTTGAATAAAGTTTTAAAGCTTGAACACTCCGATCCTGTTGTGGGTCCTTTCTTGGGAAGCTGTTGTGGCCACGGGTGGGCTCGGGCTGCTGGAGGGAGGCTGTTCCTGCCCCATTGGAGCTAGGAGTGGGAAGCTCCACTACTGCCTTAATGTGCCAGTCTAAGCTTCACTGTGCTACTTGAATCACTGGAGATGATGGATGAGGACTATTGCAGTGATGCAGGAGAACAAGGTGTGCAAGCTGCCTGGCTACCCCTCTATTTTCAGGGCGGTGACCTTCTTCTCTGGTCACCATGTTGACCCTAAAGAGCCTGTAGTGTTGGGGTGGATGTCCAGAAGTGGATGAATGCCTGACTTCCTATACTGCTGGTGAGAAAGTGGCTGGGCAGGGCTGTGGGTAAATGCATTTGTGCTCCAGGAAGCCAGAGATGTCCCCTGCTTGTCCCTGCCCCTCATGACTACCCTGGAGCTCCCCAGCCTCAAGGTGCAGATGGACATTTTGGTTGCTGCCTGGAGCTCTGGCAGATGGAGACCTACATCTCCAGCCCCAGAGGTCAGCTGGGGTGTGACTGCACTGGTTTGGGGCTTCGCATTTTAAACATGCTCAGCTTTTCTCCCCTGCCTTCCCCTGTTCCCGGTGTCACTTTCACCTCTTGCTTTGCAAACTGCATCCCGTGAAGACGCACCGTTTTGCGTGAGAGGCAGCTTCTCCAGCAGCGCTTTGTGGGCTGTCCCGGCATAGCTCTGGTCCACTCTTCTTCCAAGAGGGATGATTTATTTAGTTGGAAACGCGCTGTATCCTTCATCTCCCTGCCCGTAGCTGGCGCGGCTCCTCCTGCAGCGGCCCTGCCCGCACCCCGGGAGGCAGGGCCGGGGCTGCCCGCAGCTCTGCTGCGGCCATGCAGGGCCGGGGGTGCAGGGAGGAGGCTGCGGACCCTCCC